GATTTCTTTTTTTTTTGTTCCTTTTTGAATATCCTGAAGTATCTTTTCCAATGTCCTGGTTTTTTACAGTGATTGCATTTTCCTAGTTTTGTATTATCATTTTTGTTCACGTATTTTTGACTTTTATTATACTTGCCTTTGGTTGCAGTCAAAGCACCACTTTCAGCACCATCGTCACGGACCTCCTGTCCTTGCACTTGTCGTGTTTCTTCCACCATCAATCGAGTGGTTAACTGTTCTAGCGTTCTATTTGCACTATTCATTGAGTCCCATGCACTGTAGAAGTGCCTATAGATATCAGGTAATGTCATCAAAATGTTAGTAATCAACATTGATTCTGAGATAGGTTCTCCAAATTGTTTTAGTTGTCAACTTAGATTTTCTAATTTTGAAATATGACCTGCTTTATTGTCTTTTGGATCCATTGTATAACGATAGAACTTTTGTTGTACTATTGTTATGCTTGTGTCCGACATCTGTTCGTACACACTAAGTAATTTGTTCCACATACCATTTGCTGTGTCACAGTTCATAATGTATTGTAGAGGTTGTTCATCTAACGATGTGACGATATATTTTTGAGCCTTATTATATGCCCTTTTCCATATTGAAAAATCAACGCTATGCCTTTTTCTCGCTTCATCTTCAGTTTCATTACCGATTTTTGCTAAAATTGGTTTCTTTGATTTTCCTGTTACTACATCAAATATTTCAGCTGCATTCATGATAACCTTCATTTGAAATTTCCACATGTCCCAATTTGATGCATCTTTGAGTTTGTTGATTTTATATTGTTCGTTCTCCATATTTAAAAAACGTAAATGTACACTATCTGCACACTAAGAAACGCACTCTGCACTGCACTTACTTCGCGAATTATTATTGATGTACACTGTCTGTACACAAAAACACGCAATTCGTTAATCAATTATTTAACCTGTTGAAGTACACAGATATACAGAAGTTAAAGGTAAATAATAATAAAATCGGATATATATATAATATAATAATAAGTATAATGACACGATGTACAATAGTGTTACGAGGCGTAATATAAATCAACGACTAACTATGTAATATGTATACCCGGCTACACTACACAAGACATTTATGCTGTAGTATTATAAAAATGTATAGTCAGCGTCTGCTGAACTACAGTGTGAATATATTACTTATACACTACATTATATAGGGTGTTTTGTTTATAATTCCAACAATAACAATAATCTTATCTTAGTGTTAAAATAATATGAATTAATCCTTTAATATAATATGAATTCTTAAAATCTATCACAATATATTTTTTTTTCGTGCAATATTTATATATATATATATATATATATATATATATATATATATGATAAAATAGTGATGTATTATATATTTTTTTCCATTACCATGCTAATTATATTTTGAATAAGCTAGATTAATATATTTCTTTTTCCATCACCATGTTAATTATATCCAATATATGCTAATATGTTCCTTTATGTATTTGTATATTAATCTATAAAAAATGTAATCCTAAATTTTCCCTTTTTTTTCCCATTTTTTTTTCCTACATTTATAATATATATATTTTCCATAATTATCCTTATCTTAACATATTCTTCCTAATTATCATTTGTTTCTATCTATTTTAATACAGTCCTAGGCCAGCAATAAACTATTCAATCAAAGTTGTATTTCTGGTCCAGTCCATCATTAAAATGATTAGATTTTAAATATGTGTAACATTCGGTTCTAAACTGATTAATCGTTAAAAATTGCTATCGTTAAAATTTCGTCCAAAACTATGTCCGCCGCGAAAACTTCCGTTGCGATTTTTATTGCTATATCTATTGTTATACCCATTAAAATTATTATTTCTATTACTATCATTATGTCGTTTTTCTTCGTTACTACCTTTCATTTGTTTTTCATTACTATTTTGTTTTTGTACATTTCCCTGCAACTTTTAAATTTCTAATTTGGAATTAAATTCAAGATATTCATCTACTGCTAGTTTAAAGCATTGTTCTAAGGTTTCTGGATTCCTACTCTTTAGTACTGTATATAGATGATATATAGATGACGTCGCCTTCGTATATATAGAGGCCAGGGCCCCAATACACATTAGATGTACCAGAGCCGCCAAGACCGAGCGAGCCGCTTATGCACCAGCCATTACACACAACTTACACGGAGGTTATCAATTACTACAACGAGTCAACTCACACCGCTGCAATTTCACCACGACTACATTAATTATTATTCGTTTTAATAAAGTACAATTGATTCATATTTTAAATTGACTATATTTTATTGTAAAAGTGCAACAGCTTTTGGATCCTTGAAGGGCCCTTCGTAACACTGGCGCAGTCGAAGTAGGATTTCTTTCAAAGGAGGCAACCCGTCAAAGGCTACCGTCAACAAAGAAGAACTGATCACTCTTCCGAGAAGACAACTCCAAGAAGAACCATCAAAAACAAATAAGTCACGTCGCTGTACCAACAAATCCATCAGCACCACAGTCAATTCACCACGACTATATTATAATTATTATTGGTTTTAATAAATTATAATTGATTTATATTTAAATTGACTATATTTTATTGTAAAAGTGCAACAGATCTTTTTTACGAGTAACGCGTTTGAATATTATTAAACTATTACTGGGTTTTTTTTAAACATGCGCGATCGATCGCGGACGTTGGTGGATTTTATCCGCTTGGTTTGCATTTTGTGAATGCTCTAATCTAAAATAGTTTGTTTAATTTCAAGCGAATGTTCGCCGCGGATAAAAACCGCGACCGCGCGCGAACTATTCGCCAAGTGTGTAACCACAAAAAAGGTACGCTTTCCACGCTGCGTGCCGACTGTTTTCCTATATCCGACTGCCGCAAAACGTTGCGACCATCGGAGTTCATTTTATCCTAATATTTTGTAGAGTACTGACGTGTGTTTTGGTAAATGATTTTTTTGTTTTAATAATTGTTGTAAACAAAGTAGCAATGGGAAAAATTATTGCTAACAATAATAATATAATTTTATTATTATTAGAGGAGGAGGAGGAAGAAGAAGAAGAAGTTAATATGTATAATCTGTTATTAACAAGTAAAAAAAGAAATTCAATCAACAAATTGTTTACAACTAGAGTAGAGAAAGGATTTTCGAAGTGCTTATAAAAGGTCATTTAAATGATAATAAAAAAAATTTCGTGATTTTTTCCGTTTAAATTATGATCAATTTATTTTTATACTATCATTAATTAAGGACGACATATCATTACCTCCATCTAATCGCGTGAAAAAACCAATTACAGCAGATGAAAAACTAGCCGTTACTTTAAAGTAAATATATTTTAATACTTAACTTATATACTTACACGGGTAATATTTCCCCGTGTAAGTATATAAACTATAACTATAATTATAACGTATACGTGTAATTTTCAACTTTACATAAATTATAATTCCTTTATTACCACTTAAATATAAAAATGCATTGGAACATATTTTATAATTTCTTATTTTCTAAATCGATGGCTACACAGCAAAACCTCGTAAGTTGAAATTTTAATTTTTTTTTTTTTGTTGTCTATTGGATGCACTGTATTTTTGTGCACATTTTGATATCGTAATTTCATATTATTTCCCGCTAATTTCATAAGATATCGTACAAAACAAATGCTCATATCCTATCTTATCAATGTAAACACGTCACAGTTTTTTGCTGTTCCTGAGCAATTTGATAAAAGTGACTTACGAGGTTTTGCTGTGTAGCCATCGAAATATCAAGTGTAAATTTCATGTATAAATTAATATATTTATTTTATTATATAATTCGTAGGTATCTTGCAACATGAGAATCGTTTGGATCACTGTCATTTGCATTTAGAATTTCACATAGTTACATCAGTTTAATAATCAAAATCACCCTGTCAGCTTTAAAGAAACATTTAACGCTTATATTTCTACCTGATATAATAACAGTGGATTTCAATGTTAAAGCTTCTGAATTTTGGACCAAATGGAACTTTCCAAACTGTATTTTAGCAATTGATGGGAAACATGTTCGAGTAAGAAGTCCCGACAACAATGGATTCCTTTTATTTCACTACAAAGACTACATTTAAATTGTTCTGCTGGCTATAGTTGACGCTAACTACAAATTTATTGCTGTTGATGTTGGCTCCTTTGGCAGAGAAGGTGACAGTGGAATATTTTTAAAGTCAACTATGGGTAAAAAGATATTAGATGGGTCATTTGGTTTCCTAGAAGGAAAAAAATTACCTGGCTCCAAAAAAGTTTTACCTCATGTTATAGTAGGGGATGAAGCATTTAGGCTTCATCCTAATATAATGAAACAATATACCAGACAAGCTTCAAGAGATGATAAATCAAATTCCATATTTAATTATCGATTGAGTCGTGTCCGGCGAGTGACGGAAAACGCGTTTGGTCGGTTAAGCCAGGTTTTTAGAATATTTTACCAACCCAAAAACATTGAACCATCAACATGTGACGAATAATTATTGTAGCTTGTTGCTTACATAACATGCTACGAGATGCATATTTGGAAGAAAATGGACGAGCATTTCAAGAATTTGATGCCAGTGAACCGATACCCACAAACAATATGATACAAATTGCAAGAGGAGGTGGATTTGCAAACGCGGATGGGTTCACCGTCAGATATGCATATAAAGATTTTTTCAATCACGAAGGAGCTGTTTCATATCAGGAAAATAGATAGGTTATTTAACTAAAGAGATTTTTTTTTTTAATTACAAAATTTTTTTCATATTTTAGGTACAATTTATGAGTATAAAATTTAAAAAAAAAACATTATGTGAAGTAAAATTTAAAATTGTGCCTTTTTTGTATATTTATATATCAGTCCTTGTATAATTATTAAAAAATTAAAAACAACTTATTGATAAATACCTGTCCTAGTATTTTTTCAAAACAATTAAATAACCAACATAATTTAAAACTTATTTTTATATAGGTATTTAATTAGTTATTATTATAATTATAATGGTACGCTGTCGACATATCATATGGTTCAAATCCTTGTGAAGTACCTGATGAAGAACTAAGGCATGGCGATGGTGAACTAGAAAGTGACATAAGGTTATGACTTTGCTGAGAGGGTATTTGAAACAAAACTTGAGCGGGTTGCGCAGTCGGCTCTAAATATTGATGTTCCAGTTTTGATACTAATGATAGGATTTGTAACTTACCTTCTGTTTTACCTCCAGCTGGTAGTTTCTTCACCGATATCGCTATACTTTTAAAAAATAAATCTATTTCATCATCAACTTCCCTATTTAAAATGGCTTGATTTTGAGCTTGTATAGTGTTTATTATAGCTGTTCCTTCCTTTATTCTTTTTACATAGTCTAACTTTTCTAGTTTGCTTCTCGGTCGTGAGTTAATAATCTCCATAATCCGGTGTTCCTATATATCTTTTTCCATTTAAAATTATATCATCATTATCAAGATTGATTATATCTTTTCCAATCATATAAATATCATCTTTTTCATTATGATATATTCCAAAAGAATTAGTATCTTTTACAGTTGATAAATATTTTGACGTAATAGGACCTAAGTTTATAATAGAAGTCTCTTCTGAACTTGTTAATCGTTTTAATTCTGGATTTCTAGGTTGATAATGATATGGTTTATTTAATTTTTGAATATCTCCTTCAGTTTTAATAGTGTAGTAAACCGACAGAGTCGCTTTCCTATAATTATACATCATAAGGACTTTGCACTATATGATATATTGATCAACGACTATACCACGCCCTGAGGATTTATTACATATTTCAAAATCGCATAACGATTTCTAATAATACATATTGCCAAATAAACCAGTTCACAACTCAAGGTTTATTCGACAACTTTTAACATTTACGCCGGTACCTTTCATACCGCCGGTATTCCTTTGATCCACCTCCGAGTCTCTACCGTGTAAATAATAACCTAGGGAGACTTTGTATATATACGAGTCTCCGTCTGTATCTAAATTAGAATTAGTTCAGTGCTAGTACGACGTACATACTTGTAAGTACTTAGTATTAACCACTAATCTCTCGGGCAGACGCTTATCGCTCTGTCCTCAAATTTCTATATTCAAATGTAATACCATTATATTATTATTAACTTTAAAATAAATTACTTAAATTATAACGTTGTAACTTGTAACTCTGCAATCTCCTACTCAATCATCAACGCCGACAAACTCAAAATATAAGCGTTAGTGAGGGATCACTACAATAGCAACATCTTTAACTGCATTCATTGTTGTATTAACATTTGTTAATGCGTTTATTATTGGTCCAAACTTTTTTTGTTGTTCTTCAATTACATGTTTTTGTTTTACAACTGTATTCCTAAATCTATCCTGTAAATCTTTTTTAAGATTAATTATTTTATTTACATCTGTAGATTTGTATTGTTTTTTTTCTTTTTTAATATTATCTTCATCTTCATCATATCTTTTTATAATAACAGTCTCTTTTTCATTAGGTCTTAATAATACATCTTTAAACCTATTTTATAATTTATTTTTAGTATTAATTATTGTCTGAATCTTTACATCTGATGTGTTTTTTAAACTATTTCCTACCTTGGAATTGTTTTGTGTTTGATCTTCAATTGTAACATTTTAGATTCTGAGTGAAACGATGAATGTATTGATTTTACAATGATGTGTGTTTTTTTTTTTATTTTTTTTTTTTTATATTTATTTTTTTTGTGTCTGTGTACACGATAAGTAGTCGAAATAATGCTTCGATTTTCGACTTCAGTATCTTGTTCGATTGGAAAGTGAATATCGTTGGTGCATTGGGGAGGTCAAAATTTAAATTTCCCAGTAGTTTTCAAGAGCGCCGGGAAAAACAAAAGAAAAATTAAGGAAAAACGGGAATTTTTACGCAAAATCGATTTTTCAGAAAATTGAATTTGGTTTTTGGTGTAACTTTAAAACAAATGACCGTAGGCACATGCATTTTTCACTGGTTGTTTATATTTGCATCTTCTATACACGATAACATTTTCAAAATATTTTGATTTATTTTGAACAGTTTAGGGACATTTTCATTTTTAGTTTTTTTTTAGTTTTTTTTCTAGAAATATCAATAAAATTTTATTTGTTGGTTGCGAAAGCTTGAAAATTTAATAGAAGGTCCCTAATATATTGTTTCAAAGGCAGATGAAAAATATTAAAAATCCTTAGTCACAATTTTTTTTTATAAGCATTTAAAGTTCAAAAATTGACAAAATATGGGAAAATCACGAAAATTAGCAAATTATTTTGAGTTAAGAATTCGTAAAAATTTTCTTTTTAAATCTAAGATTTGAAAATCTAATACAAGATTACTCATAAGATTGTCTACCTTTATCAATTAAAAAATCTCTACAGGAAAGTCAAATTAAATTTTTATGAGCGTTTGAAATTCAAATTTTTACAACATTGGATATTCACTCGATTTCTCATGTGGCAATTTCCTTTTTTTGTTGTAATTAAAAAACGAATTACTGTAGATACATGAAAATTTCACTGAATGTTTATATTAGCATTTCCTATACACCATACAATTTTGAAAATATTTTGACTCTTTTTGAGCCATTTACGGACATTTTCAGTTTTCAATTTTTTTGGTTTTTTTTTTTCTATAAATATCAATTAAGTTTTATCTGTTGGGCCAAAAAGTGTAAAAATTTAATACAAGGCTCCTGATATATTGTTACAATATCAGTTGAAAAATATTAAAAATACATAGGCACATTTTTTTTTTATAAGCATTTTAACATCGAATTTTGACAGAATTTTTCAAAATCTCGAAAATTATTAATCATCGTAATTAATAAATTATAAAATGTTCAGTTTTTATAGCTAAGGATTGAAAATTTAAAACAAGATTCCACGTAAGTAGTTAATTCTCTTACCGAAAAATCTAAAAAATATACAATCACAGTTTATTTTTATAGTAATTTTATGTTCAAATTTGGACGAAATTACATATTAAAAAACCTAGTTATTTTGTTGTGATTATATAATATTATTCGTGGGTACCTACTTGAAACTTCTAAAGTGTACTATTATATATATATAATAGTATCAGGGTTTGTTGTTAGTGTATAACGTGTTATAAGTACCTAATGGATATTGTGATAATGTGATATGATTAATTTGGAATTTATTATAGGTCAATTTTTTTTTAATACCATAGATATGTATATAATTTGTCTTAACCTAGACTGTCATACCGTCTTCGCTCAGAATCGTTTTTCTTATACAATGATATTGTATCATTGAATTCAAATTTAATAGCATCAATTATACAGTGACCCACTTGTAACCTACTGTACAGCAGAGCGACATCCACTTACCCACCTTTTTTTTTAAATTTTTTCTCTAAAATACTAACTCCAGAGGCAAAGAACAAATAGACAGGCAAAGCAGACAGGATGAATCCAGCAGCGGGTGCAACAGTAATGTGAGTTAATTAATTAAGTTGAAGATAAAAATATTGCAGATAAAATTGTAGCTTTGAGTACACGTCTCACGTTGGTTTTTTTTTTAAACCAGCGTTACTTTTTTTTAAATACTATTGGTGAAGGTATAATATTTAATTAATAACAAAATAAAAACAAGCTTGTTAGGGAAAATATAATTTTTTGTAATATACAGCAATTACTGATCTGATTTTTTATAATAGACGGCGGGGACCGATCTGATTTTTTTTGTAATAGACAGCAGGGACTGATCTGATTTTTTATAATAGACGGCGGGGACCGATCTAATTTTTTTTTGTAATAGACAGCGGGGACTGATCTAAAGTTTTTTAATATAGACGGCAGGGACCGATCTGAAAATTTTTATGGTAAATAGACGGCAGGGACCGATCTAAGAATTTTATAGTAATTATTGAGAATAAATAGACAGCGATATAGGCTGATTAATAGCGTAGCAATTGAATATATGGAAATAATAAATGAATAATGTTTTTGAATTGAAATGATAGATAATTGTTGAAAAAAAAAATAAGTTGATATATTGAAGAAAAATAGATTTTGAATTAAAAGGCAGTAGATAACCTTATTGAATAAAAGTAGTCGACGTCAGGAATTTTAAATGAAATTAATTGTAAGGCTAGCCTAGAATAAGTATAATAATAAGATAGATATTATAATAAAAATAAATAAATTTTTGTGTAATAAATTAAATCGTTAAAAGTAATAAATTCATTAAGTGGAATTAAATAAGAAATAGGTAGTTGAATATTGTTATAAGATTGCTGGCTTAGCTACCCAGTAATAGTTTAATAATATTCAAACGCGTTACTCGTAAAAAAGATCGCGGCGAACCTTGGCGCGTAATAATTTACGTAAAATACATGAATTGTATAGCAGTGAGCGTGTGTTAGTAGGTCCACAGTATATTAACACGCGGCGCGCATACGAATAGAATAAATACGTACGTACGATACGTGTATACGGGAATAAATACACATACACACATTTAACAAAATAAATATTTTATTTTTTTTTTTTTGTAGTAAAATAAATGAAAATTATTAGATTTTAATAATGTTAGTGAACATTAGGTATATATGAATACAGAATCGGATAGTTCAGATATTGAAACTAGTTCTACGGACAGTTCAGTAAAAGTTAAAAAATTTAAAAATAAGGAAGAAATAAAGGCGGAAATTTTAAAAGACGCTATAAAGAAAGAATTTATAGAAAAAACAGGCAAACAAATAGCTAACGCCGATAAAGCTGTTAGGAAAGATTTAGTAAGAACACTTAGTTTAACAGAACGGATAGGTATCACGCCACGAGAAGGTATACAAGGCGTAGGTCGTTCAGGTACTAGGTCAGACTCAAGCGTAGATCACGTGCGATTAGAAGTTAGGAAAAACACAAAAAATAAAATGGATATTGATAAAGCAATACCAATGATACAAGTTTGCACAGGGAAGAAAGACGTAGCAGAATTTATAAATATCTGCGAGATCGTGCTTAAAGATATTGCTGACGCGGATAGACCCTTATTATTAAAAATAATAACGTCGAAGTTGACAGGGAACGCGTTAGATTTAACAAAATATAGAAATTTAGACTCATGGTCATCAATAAAATCCATATTAGAGGAGGCATTCGAACAAAAAGTATCGGAGAGGGCCCTAGCAGTAGCTTTAAACACTGCACGTATGACCGAAGGAGAAAGTGTAGCAAAATTCGCTAGTAGAATCGAAGAGTTATATTATAAACTCTGCGCGGCAAGTACAATGGGATTAACCAAGGTCGAAGCACTTGTAGTTAAAAACCAGACAAAAAAGCAGGCTATGATTATATTTATGACAGGATTACCAAATCATCTATATACAGTACTAAAGAGTAGGAATCCAGAAACCTTAGAACAATGCTTT